TGTTTTCAGGGAAGTAGTCCATGAAAATGGAATTTGAGGGGAAAGTTATCTTGCAGTAGTATGAGTGGATACTTCCACCGTAAGTGGGAAAGCAGCACGGGTCTATCCCAGAACCTAGTGATTCTACCAGCAGAATTGCAGGTAACACCTAATAATACAGTAGCTCCAGTAAGTGAAATATCGAAGGACGTCCACGATTTAAAAAGTGACTTCTCAGCCCAGCAATGAGTTAACAAATATATCAAAGCTTTGTCATTCCCTCCCCATCTTATGTCTTCGAACCACTCATTATTTCTCTCTGTATTATAGGGTGAAGAAAACACAAGGCAACAGATACTTCTTTCTTGTAGAGCCAAAGATCTTTTGGAGAGCTTTATTATAAGGATGAGAATAAAATTAGTGACTTCAATTGAAAAGTTTATTTAATAAGCACTCATTAAATGTGGACTCTAGAAAAATGGCACAGATGAACCTATTTGCAGGGCAGGAATACGGACGCAGAGGCAGAGCACGGACAGGTGGATAGGTTAGGGGGAGGTGGGTGGGATGAACTGGGAGATTGGATCTCACATATGTACACCGCCATGAGTAAAGCAGACAGCTAGTGGGAACCTGCTGTATAGAGCAGGGAGATGGGCTTGGGGCTCTGCGGTGACCTAGAGGGGTGGGATGAGGTGTGGGTGGTGGGGAGGAAAGTCCAGCAGGGGGAAGTACATGTATACGTATAGCTGATTCATTTCATTGTATAGAAGAAACTAACAGCACTGTAAAGCAACTATACTCCAAATAAGAAAAAAGAAAATCTATTCTGTTTCAGACCACCTCTTGGCACTTTCTGACTGTATACATAGAAAAGAAAATGTAGATCTCTTGTTTGAGTGATGCCTCTTGCAGTGAAGAGCTTGCTGAGCCAGTACTAGGTTGCTGACAGTGACTAGAATGAAGACGTTTGTCTGAAAGAGGAAGCACGCTCTTTGCACTAATTCTTAAAATGTTGGAGCGTTGGCCTGGCCAGGTCCATGTTCCATTTGAATCCACTCTGCAACTGTCCACCCAGCTCTGCAGAAGCAGAAATCTGTCACAGCCATTCAGATCCCCAATGCCTTCTTAGTCCAGGGCCTAGAATAATAAGGGATCAACCGATATTTGTGAAATGACTGTGTGTTTGTACTGTATGGCTTTCTGGGGAACAGGCTTTTCTTCTCATCCTGCAATGTGTTTGTTCAAACTTCTAAGAGTGCGGCCCAGTAATCTTGGCACGGCTGCTGGGGGAATCATCTTTACCATCCTATGACTCCCCTCCATACATTCTGTATTCTCCTGATTAGACATGGTATTATTTTTTTTCCTTTTGTTTTAAGGCTCTGGGTGGAGTAACTCATCACTTTCTTTGTGAGCCTTACCCATGTATCCCCCCTTTTTATTTAGTTTAGGGATCAGTAACTTTTTCTAAAAAGGTCAGACAGCAAACATTTTAGCCTTCCCAGACCTTGTGGTCCAGCTCTGCTGTTGTGATGTGAATGCAGCCGTGGACAACACAGAAGCAAATGAACCTGGTTGATCTTCAGTATAACTTTACTTATACAAGAGGCAGAGCCTATATTTGGCCTTTGGGCTGTAATTATTTTACCCAATTTAGTCTATACGGTATATGGTCCTTAATTTATTGCTTTGAGTATTGTTTCTATCGTTCCCCAGGTGGCACAGTGGTAAAGAATCCTGCTGCCAATGCAGGAAACACAAGTTCATTCACTGGATTGGGAAGGTCCCCTGGAGTAGGAAATGGCAACTTGCTCTAGTATTCTTGATGGAGAATTCCACGGACAGAGCAGCCTGGTGGGCTACAGTCCATGGAGTCACAAAAAGTCAGATACTACTGGGTGACTGAATGTGCACACACATGTTCTTGTCTTTCTACTCTCCAACAGTTAGCTGCTATCTACTCTTTTGTGCCACCCATCACTTGCACTCAACGAACAAAAAGATGGGCTGGACTGTGCCAAATATCTTTGCCCTCTAGGCACACAGTTCTTTTAATACACAAACTCCACTGTCCTGTGAAAGTCAGTTTTTCTACAATAGTACAGATTTAGGTACATGATAATATAGCCAAATGCAATGAAGTTTGGCCACTTCTTTCTTTGGATCTGTTATGGGTCTTGAGAATTGTTTTGGCAGAATATTATCTTGTATTTCTCTACCATTCAGTAGTTAAGCTTTGCTTGCTTCTTCTGAAGCCCTGGAGCCTCTAAATATTCATTCCTTCATATTTTGGACCTGCCTTGAAGAGCTAAGAGACATAACTGACCACTTATGTTCCCTCCATTGCTTTTGCCTGACATGGGCCCTATGTTTTGTGCTCTTTGATAGAAGGAAAAATTGTGTAGATTCCATGGTTATTAAACTATCTTCCATGAGGGACCAAGTTTCTTTGAATCACACATAGGAGGTTCTTTGAATGCAAAGCTACTTACGGAAAAGCCATTTCGCTCATTTAAAATCATCATATCCAAGAGGAGGGGCTGTCAATACACACACTACAACAGAAACTTCACAGCTTAGAAGACAATTAGGGTGAGGGGATTTTTCCAGATAATGTCAATCTTGAGTCACACAATCATGACAAATGTTGTGTCAGGAGTCTGTGATTGCAAACTGTCCTTTGGTCCTGCTTTACAACCCTCACTTATGGAAGTGAATTGTTGTACCAATGTACACTTTGCCACAGGCTCCTTTTGAAATGTTATTGGTACCACTTCTTTCTGGTTGGTTTTTTTTTTTTTCAGGTAATCATAGTTTATACCCTTACCCCTGGAATAAAATGTCTATTTATAACACTGCTCAACTAATATATTAAAATAAGGCTTGTTAAAATGCAAAATACTGTTCCCAAAGCAATGGTAGTTGTATTGCTTGAGATATGTAAAATAAGTTGATTAAAGGAGAAAGAAATAAAATATGAAGAGAAATAATCTCTCCTTCACAATGGGAAAAAAAAATAAGCTTTTGCTTTTAATTTCTGAGATTCTCAATAAATGGTTGTTTTGGCCAAAACAAATAAAGTGAGAAATACATTAAACAAAATCCTCAGTGAATTCAGGACTATGGTAGCATCAGAGCACCCTGGTTAATGAGCTACACTCTGGACAAGTTACTTAGCTTTGTGTTTTGGTCTTCAACTCAGTCACATGCCTTTCCTGCTTTCTACTTTTTAACCCCTCGATCTGTTTCATTTTAAGCTTATTTATAAATAATGGGACCACATACATCTGCTGTTGAAAGAATCAATAATTTGAGATCTTAAGTTTTTCCAAATTTGGCCTTCCAAAGCTGGTGATCCCAAGAAACTAGTCAGAAATGCTAGATTTAGAGATGGCTGAGGGCATTTCCCATTTCATTAACATTTAAAACACATTAAGGACTAATAATAAATATAGCATAGTCATTGAATTTTTGTTAAAAAAAGCACACACACATACAAAAGTTCTAAGCTGATGGAGATGTTATCATGAAAAATTTAGAGCTGACTTTTGGGCGTGGGAGAGTGGGAAGGGAAGGAGAAATGTAGTAATCACCCTGCTGTTTCTCTTGGCACTCAAGAGAATGTCAAAATAATCACACCAGGGTCTGTACACAGAGGCTGTCAGCAGTCTGGGTCCTGTGCAGACCACATGGAAAGGGATTTGATGGTGCACACAAGTGAATAAGCATTTGTTTCCATAATTTCTCAAAGGTGCAAAGGAGAAAAATTGTATTCTTGTATCAGAAAACAAATGTAAAAGATAACAGTAGATACAGAAGCAGACTGTATGGAGACCATGATTAGAGTTTAAATTTAGTCTGGTCTGTTTTTCCTAGCTATATGTTCCCTTTTTTAAATGTCTGGGGGGAAAGGGCAGGACACATAAATTTAGTTGATGGCAGAGCAAAGGCTCTTGTAGTTTGTATTAACATTAAATCCAGGCATCAGTTCTACAAGAATCAAGTAATCTGTCTTTAAGGCAGAGTCAGGCTGTGTGAACAAGGTCGCAGGGCTTGGCGCCTCAGTGATCTCAGAGATGTATGCTGCCCGGGGACAAGGCTCTTTTCAGGGCACCTACTATGTAGTGTGATTGGAAATGACAGGCAATGAAATTCAGCTGACCTGAATTACATCATCTGCTCTGATTTGACGAAGCCCATATTCCATATACTCAGCAAAGATACACATATTTCAGGGAAGAAAATGCCTGGCTAATTAACAATAACTCACTCAACATCCATCTCCAATGGAAATGCTTTTACTGAACACTTGCTAGAGCACAATACTTCTTTTCGATTTCCTTTGGTTGGCAATAGCTGTCAGAAACAAGGCTAAGCACTCTATATTCATTTAATAAAATCTTTCAGTGAGTTGGATTCCATTCTCGCCATCTTGTCGATTAATTTAGGTAACATACCCAAGAGCACAGATGTGAAACCGGAGTCCAGATCTGCCAAACTTCCAAGTCCCTCCTTCTAACCCCCTGCACTAGTGCCTGGCCTCCCTCCGCAAAGCCACTCATCTTTCTTCACCATCTTTGAAGTTATGCTGAAGTTTCCATACTGTCAGTGAACAAAAGACCAGTTCTTTGCATATTCCTTGAGAAGTACCCCGCAGGGTGCCCTTTTAGCTAAATATAAAAGTGAGCCCTTTTCTCCAAGGGCCCTCCCTTCCACAATACGGGAATTTTGCTTTTCTACTGCTATAAGCTGGAAAATGAGTTTGGCTGAATAGCAATTAAGATCTTGACAGAGCTGGGCAGAGCGACGATAAAGAAGGGAAGGTGGATGCATCAGTGCTCTAAACAATGTCTTTACTGTAGTCAAGGATGCAACCCTTGTGGATTCCGTTAAGGTCCGTTAAGGACCGGAGGTTTTCATGCCTGGGGCTCAAGAGCTTGACATCATAGATAGAACACATTGTGACCCATTAGAAGAGCAAGCTTTCCTTTCTTTTGCCTGTTTCTCACCTCCTCCCTTTAAAGAGCTGGACCTGCTGTAATCAAGGCTACTGGAGTTAGTTTGATCAACACTCCTGGCCGCTTCCCAGACCAACTGTGAAGTGATTTAGACTTGGGAAAGCATAGGGAATTCAATAGACCATGAGTGGTTGTTAGAGTTTAAACTTTCAGAAAGATAACCTGGGGAAAGGAGATGAAGGAAGAGTAAGTGATCTTTATTCCTATAGGTGGACGGCGAATGGGTCACTGGTTCAGGCACAGCAGTAATTCTGGACAGAACCCACCCCATGTGTGATTTATCACTGTCAGAAATAAAACTTGCCTTTGCATTTATCATTCTACTTACTTATTCTACCCGCTACACTCACCATCTCTTTTTCACTCTTCCTGCTTCAATCTTTTATAAAAACTATAGTGGCTAAGCATTTTCCTCTGTGTTGCCCCCCAGTAAGTTGAGAATACATGGCAATTGGAATAACAAAGCACACAGTTCCATAATGCTAGAGACATCTGCGCATCTCAGCATCTTTGCAGTGACATTGAGTTACCCAAGAACCTATCTGTGTTCACCCAGCTGTTGGTTTCTTGCCAGAAGGACAGTTCACCACATTAATCCTGCTGATGGCCTGTCTGTGTAGATGGATTTTTAATCTATTGATTTAGAAAAAAAAAACAAAAAAACCTTACCTAATAGCTCTATTGACACCCATTATATAATTTCACATTTCTTAGCTCTTAGCAGTGTAGCTCACATTTAAAAGCATGTCCTAAAATTAGGAAAAATTCTACTACTTTTCCAGTATTTTTCCCAATATAGCTATTAATAATATTCCATAATTTTATAAATTAAGAAAAATCATGTGTATTAATAACATTCAGGATCTAAACACATTAATTAAACAAAAAATTCCCATTTAATAAACTAGTTATGATAAGTGTTTAAACCCATGAAAAGCTCAAATTAACTGCTGTAACAAGTTTACGCTTTATCAAGTAAGATTAAGCAGTACACTGTAACTGTCAAACATTATGAAACATCTACTCCTAACTATGTCTTTTTGATGGATATTGCTTATGTCTGAAGAATGATTCTATATTACCAGACAGAAGAAACCCATGTACCAAAAGCTAAAATTTATATTCAGGGCTCTGACTTCTCTTATTAAAAAAAAAGCATGAAATAAAATGTAGTAATAGAAAATGCATTCTGAACCTATGTTGTCACTATGAACAACAAAGAGACTATTTTGAATGCAAACATATTTTCTTTCAGCTGTTGTAAAGAATGTCACAGTTGGACTGAAGTTTTGTTAGCTATTGTGTCAAACTGGAATAATGTTTCTATCACAACATGTCTCATTTTAAAGAATATGCATTTTCACTATAAATGTTGGCAGACCCATGTCTGGACTTGGGCAATGAACTAGTTTTCACAACTGAAGAATAATGCAGTTCTTTAGAAGCAGAATTTATTTCCTCTAATTTTTAGACCAAATTTAAAAACTTCCCATGAGCTCTTTCAATGGCTCAAATAGTTTGTTGAACTAATATTCCTATTTTTCAGTAAACCAGAAAAAATTCTTTGACATATATCTGGCTCAGAATGGTGGTGGATGACCTAATAGATGAGAAGTAAAATATGTGGGACCAGGTGGGAAAAAGAATTATTCTTTCACAACTCCATATGTGGTGATTAGACATTCATTAAATTAAACTTAGATTCAAAGAGTAAAAAAAAACTGGAGTAATGAACTGACTTCTACTTTACATTTTCGAAGGAGGTAAATTAAAAAAAAAAACCTATACATGTTAAATACTTACTCAGCACCGTGTTTTCGTTCTTAATTAAATTAAATGTATGATTGATCTAACAGTATTATCAAACCTACATCCACACTGAGGACGGTAAGTAATGCTCCGCGATAAGCTCTGTGCTGTTGCTGTTCGGTTAGTAAGTCGGGTCCAACTCTTGTGACCCCGTGGACTGTAGCCCACAAGTCTCCTCTGTCCATGGGATTTCCCAGGCAAGAATACTGGAGTGGGTTGCCATTTCCTTCTCCAGGAGCTCTTCTAGACTCTGGGATTGAACCCGCACCTCCTACATTGGCAAGCAGATTCTTTGTTACTGAGTCACCAGGGAAGCCGTGATAAGCTGCATGCAAACACATAAATCAATGAATCATCTATATTTCTCCGTTTTGGATTATACTAGCTTTGTGTGAAATTTATCATTGAATTCTTTTAAGTGTGGTTTCCCTTCTTGTTCCACTTTTTTTTTTTTTTCAGATTGTGACTAACAACAGGCCACTTTGAGTCTTTGTAAAGGATATACCTTTTTACACAAAGAGATAAAGCCATCTCGAATACTTGTGAACCAAAAGTGATTTTTTAAGTTCTGCATTCAGCATTGTGTGGGCTGGTTGTCAGAAATTCCTAGAGGACACAGGTACAGTTTTCTTCTACTTCTCTCAAGTTATCAGCAGAAAACAGCTGGGGAGTTACTTTCCGGAGCCTTTTTTCCTGAGCTGAGAAAGGTTTTACAGCGTTTAACTAGAACGTGATCAGCTGATCCTGAAAGGAGTAGCTGTAGCCTTTCATTGCTTCTTCAAAATTCCTTTGCTTGGCTCTGTCGACCACAGAGCTGAGGATGCAGCCGCCCTCCCCATTCTAGTGATGAGCAGTGATGATGGGGCCATTGTGTGTTACCATGGCGATTGTTCACCATCCAGTTCTTAAAGCTGTTTCCTTTTAATTTCCCCTTTCTTTTATTTTTACTTGCCTTTCCCCCTTTTCTCTCTCTTTTTGAAAACAGTGAATTGTGAGGAACATAGATTTGAGTACTAAAAGATTTAATTACATTAGAAATTCCAAAGATTTATTATAATTGCCCTTAAAAATTATATTTTGAGGTTTTGAGCCATTGACTCTGTGTCTTCTTTACCCACATGAAATATATGGTTGCTTTATTTAAGAACACAAATTATGAGATGATATTATGAAGCTGTCCTTTTTCTCTCAAGTAAAGCTGTTCTATAGATTACTTTGAAATAAAAATGTTACCTGGGTGAGTGGGCTGAGGTTTCTGAGTTTTAATCCAACAGTGAATGGCATGGTATCTGACCTTAAAGAAAGTACTTGACTTTACATTTGCTTATCTGTAAAAATAGGGATAACGCAGATGCCTAATGATTATAAAAAGCTTTGATAACTCATATGAAAGAAGATAACTACATGCTTTAGAATTAAATACTTAAAATGGCTGTAATTCCATTACTCTTCATTATTTCTTTGTGAAGCAAATGCGTTTCAGGAATTATAAGACTGTCTTGCAGACAAATATAATAAAGCATGCAGTGGTTAATGGACTTAGGAAATTAATACAGAGTCCAAAGTTAAACCCAGCTTTACTGACTTTTAATTCCTTTTAATCAACTTCTTTCCACGGTTTCTAATAGTCCACATTTGTGCTGCACAAAGGAGAATAATGAGAGATATCATTATTATTATTTGCAAGACTAAAGTGTGTTGATTGCACTGTTAGGTCAAAATCCTCTCATCAAATATACCCATGTTCTGGTTCAGATATGCTTATATAACTTAAGAAAAACTCAAAAATCTCTAATCTCTAGTGTCCCCATCTGTAGGGCTTTTAAGGTTTATTAATAACATGGCACTTTTATATTGTTATAATATCTACATTATACGACATCTTATGAGTAGTATATTAAATAAGATAATATGTACAAAATGCTACTCAAATGCTGTGGAGTTATATAAATGTAGACCTTATTTTTGAAGGCAGTGTGTGGCCAGAATACAGAGGATATGAAACATTAGGCTTACGAGTGTTGACATACTGGGTTGACCAAAAAGTTTGTGTTCCCCATAACATCTTAAAGAAAAACCCAAATAACCCATTTGGCCAGCCCAATACTTTATTAGTCAATGGAGAACCCTTAAATTTTTCATAAAAGGGAATACAAAACCCAGGCAGATCTTGAGGAAGTTGGATCTCACAGTAGCTTGTGTGATAGACCAAGAGATAAAGGGACCGAGTAGTGTGGTATGGGACAGTAAGAAGACTAGTCCTGTGGTTAAAGTGAGAGGCAAAGAGTAGTATCAACCAGGACAGTGACCATCATATTTTTTAAAAAGGCCTGAGGGTAGACAAAATTTCTGTAGAACAGAATCTATGAAATAAGCTAAAAATGAGGATAGTGGGTTAAGTAAAGAATGAAATGTGATTTTAAGGGTTCTATCTCAGGTATTCAGTTCAGTTCAGTCACTCAGTCACGTCTGACTCTTTGCGACCCCATGGACTACAGCACGCCAGGCCTCCCTGTCCATCACCAACTCCTGGAGTTTACCCAAACTCATGTCCATTGAGTTAGAGATGCCATCCAACCATCTCATTCTCTGTTGTCCCCTTCTCCTCCCTCCTTCAATCTTTCCCAGCATCAGAGTCTTTTCCAGTGAGTCAGTTCTTCTCATCAGGTGGCCAAAGTTCTTCAATATCAGTCCTTCCAATGAACACCCAGGACTGATCTCCCTTAGGATGGACTGGTTGGATCTCCTTGCGGTCCAAAGGTCTCTCAAGAGTCTCCTCCAACACCACAGTTCAAAAGTATCAATTCTTCGGTGCTCAGCTTTCTTTATAGTCCAACTCTCACATCCATACATGACTATGGAAAAAACCATAGCCTTGGATAGACAGAAATGTGTTGGCAAAGAAATGTCTCTGCTTTTCAATATGCTGTCTAGGTTGGTCATAACTTTCCTTCCAAGGAGTAAGCGTCTTTTAATTTCATGGCTGCAATCACCTTCTACAGTGATTTTGGAGCCCCCCAAAATAAAGTCTGTCACTGTTTCCCCATCTATTTCCCATGAAGTGATGGGACCAGATGCCATGATCTTAGTTTTCTGAATTTGAGCTTTAAGCCAACTTTTTCACTCTCCTCTTTCACTTTCATCAAGAGGCTTTTTAGTTAATCTTCACCTTCTGCCATAAGGTTGGTGTCATCTGCATATCTGACATTATTGATATTTCTCCCAGCAAGCTTGATTCCAGCTTGTGCTTCTTCCAGCCCAGTGTTTCTCATAATGTACTCTGCATANTTTTGTATAGTTCTTCTGTGTATTCTTGCCACCTCTTCTTAATATCTTCTGCTTCTGTTAGGTCCATACTATTTCTGTCCTTTATTGAGCACTTCTTTGGATGAAATGTATGAGACAAAAATTATGAAATTTAGGAGATGGTATTGAGTGTTTGTAAAGATGGAAACCTAATTTAACATATGTTGACTTGGAAGACTTGTCAGGGCATCCCAATGGGAATGGCAAGCAGACATAGGATGTGTTGAAAAAAATCAGGAAAGTGGTAAGAGAATAAAGTGGTTAGAAGATAAAGAGTAATTTGCAAATAAGTTATAATAGGAGCTATGAGAACAGAGAACTTTGATGAGAAAGATGGTGTAGGGACAGAGGGATATATTGAGTTGGACAAAAAATTCTTTTGGATTTTTCTGTAAGATCTCATGAATGTTTTGGCCAACCCAACATATTCTCATAGTAAGAGGCTGTGGGCAATTGAGGTTGCAGAAAGGGGCTATCAGGCAGGATTAGGCAAATAAAAGACCCCAAGGAATATAGTGTCATGGGTACCAAGAAATGGGAGAACTTGATAATCTTTCCATGAAAGTGGGCTGTTCAGTAATTTTGAATATTTTATTAAAGGCTAATTAGGAAGAGACTATGAATAATCATTGGAAATGCCTGTTTTGAGCTGATTGGTGAGAAGTAGGAGGGTAAAAATCATGTTTGTCTTCTTTAGTCTTTAGCATCATCACTTGCTAGAGGACTCACATTTATGAGCCATTGAGTAAATACTTCTATAAATGAATGAATGAATGAATAATTGAAATTGAATCTTGAAGGTTCAATAAGTGAATTGGGAACAGTTAAAATCAGGGAATATAGACTGTTTTTCTACAATATTTGCAGTAGTGCAAAAAGATTATATCATGGGCATATGTTACCACAATAGCCAAGATTTATTTGTAGCTTATTATGATCTCATTCCATCTTCTCAGAAATCCTACTAGGAAGTCACTGCTACTTTCTCCATGTTCAAGTTGAGAAAACTGAGGCATCAAGAGATTAATATTAGCTGAAATTCACATAACTGATCATGAAAGAAGCTAGGATACATGAAATCATTTCTCTACCTAAAATTTTTCAACAACTTTAATATTTAATCCTTAGTGTCTTCCACAGTACCTGGCAAACTGAAGTATTTATTACCTTCTGGCTGATGGAGAGAACAAAACGCAAAAGTCCAGTACTTTGCCCAAGATCATACACAGCTTATTTGTGGTGGAGATAAAGAGTTTAGACCTAGATAAGAGTATGGTTGCTCAGACAGTAAAGGTCTGCCTACAATGCGGGAGACCCGAGTTCAACCCCTGGGTCAGGAAGATTCTTTGGAGAAGGAAATGGCAACCCACTCCAGGACTCTTGCCTGGAAAATCCCATGGACAGAGGAGCCTGGTATGCTACAGTCCATGGGGTCTCAAAGAGTCGGACACGAGTGAGTGACTTAACTTTTCAAGAGTAAACCAGATACTCTGATACTCTCAGAGCCCTTGTTCATAATCACTGTGTAACATTAGCTTAAATTACTTTGTTTGCCTTGACTCCTATGGGATTGAGCCTAGATAGGGAATGGGCAAAGAACAAAAGAGATCTGGTAAACTGGGAGAAAAGAGATAAAATAATAAAAGCATCTGATGATTAATAATAGTAGGCCTCGTAAGAGTGACTTAGAAATGGAGGGTAGTTTAAGTTCTTAGTGGAAGAGTGTGGAGTGATGCTGAGATCTGAGATGCGTTATTGGATAACTGAAAATGAGCAAAAATGGAGGTCAGTAATGTTGAGTATTTTATCTTATTATTTTTTTTTTTTTGGAATTTTATTTTTTTTTAATTTTTTTTTCCATTTATTTTTATTAGTTGGAGGCTAATTACTAATGTCGAGTGTTTTAAAACTTATCAGACGAAGGTGTTAAGAGGCTTAATGAGGAGAATGTCATGACACAAACCTAGGTAAAGGAGACTTCTTTAATCCAGGTACAGCGTCTCAATGTTATTTGTGATACACATGTTATATATTAATGGTCCACACATGATGAGGTATGAGCTTCTTGGAGTTTATATTTATGGAAGATGTTAAATCCCATGGTTGCTTCTTCCAATTATAGAGCTTCGAGTTAAAAGAAGTTCTTCTGGATGTGAATTTATGGGATTTACTTTTAAAAAATCTTCTACAGAACTTAATCCCAAGCCTTGTGAGTAATCAACTTTCACTATATGTACACATGTGGAAGACTGTACCAAGTAGCAGATTTCTCTCTCTTCTGAGGAAGATATTATACCCTCATTCATCGTTTAT